CCCGTTTGGACTTGTATTAGTAGGCTACTAGGGTTTGAAAACAGTATGGAATTTTTCATTATTCTTGCTAGCACAAGAAAAGAAAACCCTAGCCGTCATTCTTGTTCTCTGTGTGGATCACCATTGGAGACTGGACAATTAGATAGTTTGGATTGCAGATCGTGATCATTGGAGTTCGAGAATCAGCAAAAGAGTTTGCATAATTCATCAAATGTATTATTCTCAACACAGTTTCTATTTAAACATAAAGCAGATCTGTGGTGGGAATTGAAAAATTATTAATTTTCCGCTGTGCATATTAAGTAAATTCCCAATAGTGGTAACAGAGCCTACTTTGTGTTTGTTAGAAGTTGTTTTGTATTATGGAACAATCAAAAGTTAATTGTTGATATTTTTCATGTTTCTAGCAATTAAGAAAATTTTGATTTTTCATATTTTAAAATCTGGTTTAAAAAAAAAAATCGGATCTGGAAAGCAGCCGCCGCGACCAGCTATGGCGGCAAAGCCTGCTGCAACTTACGACAACAGGCTGCGCGCCGCCACGGGGGCATTGCAGCAGCGACTGTCCCTGCTGCTGCAGCGGCGCTTGTCGTCGCTGCAAGTTGCAGAGATGAGCGCCGCTACTTGAAATCGCAGCGGCAGCATGCTGCTGCTTCGCTGCAGCCACAGCAATAGCTCGTTGGAGCTGCTGCTGCTGGTGGGTTACAGCGGCAGTAACCCGCCGCAGCCGACGAACGGAGGAGGGATTTTTCCCCTATAGTTTATCTTACGGTGGGAGGATTTAGGGGGCGGGGGGCTGTCATGCAATTTGTGAAATTGCGAGCCCCTGTCTCCAATTATGATTAGGGGTCAAATTTGCAAATTTTGATAAAGGGCTTGTCATGCAATTTATGTAATTGAAGGGCCTGTTAGTAATTTAAACTGGGGTCAACTTTGCAATTTTCAAAATGAGTTTTGAATTTAAATTTGAAATGGTTTTTTGAATTTAAATATTAAAATGGTTTTAAACTTGTATTTCAAATGGGTTTGATCTAAAATTTCAAAATTGACCCGTTTAAAATTTTATTTAAAAATTAACGAATTTTATATTTTCGTTA